CCCTGAGCGTCGTGCCAGCAACTCATACACAGACCCAGTGGAGAACGTATACACGCGACAGCCCCCGTCTCTTGGCTACGTCTTGCTCTACCTTTGGCCCAACTGTATCCGTTCTCGTCCGTTTTCTCCATATTAACGCACGGCATACATCGACGCGTGTAATTCAATCCTAGCCGGGGTCGATCGCGAAGTATCGATGTACAGGCGTGCGCGGAGTTTAAAAACGGGACAGGTTCGCGGGCAGATAGCTAGCCTGGCACTGAATGACGAACGGGATCCTGATCTGAAATCTTAGAGTCACCCACTCTTGGTAGCAACCCATTTCTGCTCTTTACAAGCTCCGGAGCTGCGTTCGTTGGTTGAGCCACGGCGAGAGGCCACTTTTCGTAGCGACCTAGGTCTCCGGAGAAGTTAGGTTGCCGGATCGGTCAGCTAGCGGACCAATTGCCAGATCACTGGCAAAGTTGTACCAGCTCTGTATTTTAGGATGTCTCTAGGATTCGATGCGATGATGTCTCCGATGTCTGCGTAGGCACGTTCTGGTGAGCAGCGGCCCGCTTCTCACTTCAGAACAATGGGAAGTCTGCGGCGTCGCCTGTTACCGCGCTTGTTCGAATTCCCTGCAAGAGTTGCACCAGCTGACCATGGCTTTCTCGCCGAGATCCGAGTCCTTTTACGGTGACTTTGCACTGGTCAAGGTTGCAGCGCGATGGGATGCGACCGTCGAAGAGTCGGAACGATTGCGACAGCTCGCTGCTCAGGTAGGTTGCTTCGTTACGCTTCTATCTCTTGACTATCTTTGTATACGGAAGAAGATATTACACTTCTGGCTGTTTGACGTTCGTTGTGCTTCTCTGTGCCCTCACACTCGCCACGAGTCGTCAGCTGAGCGTGTACGTGCGACGATCCCAAAGAGTTTGCCGATCGCCGGTTAGAGTATATATATATATATATATCTACTGTACACCCTTGTAACTCGATGTTCCCTTAGCTGTCAAAATTCTTTGCCGCTTGTCTCCCTGTTTCCCGCGAATTGGCTGTTATGTCTATAGTTGGTACATTGTATTTGACTCGGAGAATGCGTGTGAGAGAGTGTTTTCTGTAACGTAGAAGTAAACGCATATATCGACAATTGCCTGTGAGAGAGACACACGTGGTGCCCTCCTGACCTGACTTGCTCTCAGGTGAGCCAGCTGCGCGAGGTATTGTCTGCCATCAAGAGACAGAATGCGGCGTCACTGCCGACGACACCTTTCCAGGACTCGATGACCATTGAGACGACACTGATCGACCAGCACACTACCTCCTACTCCGTTGGTTGTAGGCAGCACACGACACCCCTCGATTACACTAACACTACGTCGAACACGGGCCCCCATTGGCTTTAGCCGCCCACGGTAACTCACGTCATGGATTTTAAGAAAAAAAAAAAAAAAAAAAAAAAAAA